TTTATATATATGATAAACAGTAATCGTATAAATTTGTCCATCCAAAAATGCAATAAACATGTAATATATTTCCTATCGTGTTATATAACTTGACAAATCGAACCAGCATCAGCAATTCCTTTTAAGAATAAATATCTAGACACACTCAAATACTATATATTTATTTCCCCAAAGAGGGCTGCTGGAAGGAAGGGGTTTGTGAAATCATTTTGCATATCCTGCAGGGATGTGTGACCGTGATAAAAATGCAAAAACCACCCATTGACAAAAATCTACCCCTCTAACTCCAACTGGTCCCTTTTGGATTTCCTCGTTCTCATTTCGAGTTATTGACATTTGAAACTCTGAGGGTTGTTGACATTAGTAGAAGAAAAATAGATGGATGTTATGCTCTTGAGAAAAATTGAACGATTCTGATCGATAAATGATTAAGAAACATCACGAAAGGTAAAAGTTTAAAATAGCTCCGTATTTTATTATTGTCGAGTACAAATTTAATTTATTTAAATTTATTACACCGTGTCTTATATGATATTAGAATGAAATGTGCTGGCTTTGTGATGCTCTGAATGATCTTGGAACGTCGTGCTAATCTCTTATTATGAATTAGTTTGAGGACAAAAGGACTTTGAAGACGGTATTCATTAATTCATGAATAAATGCATATACATACAAATATATATATATATATATAATATATATATATATAAATGTGTGTGTGTGTATGATGCGGAATCATTTGTCGTATTGTCGTCAACCCAGCGACAATAATGGACAAGATTAACCATTGTATGGTGTGACGAACAATTGTTCCCAGGAATATATAATTAATCCTGTGTACATATAAAATAGGCATATACATATACATATATTGACACTCTATACACACACTGTGATGTGATGTTTAGGGACAAATACTAAAACTATTACCAATTTTAAAATAAATTTTATAGGTGCAATACTATTGCATCCACGTTCTTTGCGTTTTATTTCCAGAATTTCTTCGATTTTGGCCAAACCGTTTGTATTACTAATTAATAAGTAATTTCCTACATACATACCGTACATGGATTTTTTTTTTCAATTTAGTGAATGCCAAATTAATATATGCAATATGTGCTGAATAGATGCAAGCAAAACAAGTGTGCTAAATTTTGAACAATCAAAGTATGTGATATCATATAATACAATCAAAGTATGACAAATGTGATATCATATAATAATTTAGTTTTAAATCGTGATATATAATAAGCATAAGCCAGTAAGCAAACTAGTGGTGTATGGCATCGTGCCTCAAGGCAAATTGATGGAACTTTTCGTACCATAATGAGATATTCTAATAAAATTTAGTTAAAAAATTGTTTTTTGAAAATTAAAGAAAAAATTTTTCCCCAAGAACAATTGTTTGTCAACGCAAGCAGAATTTTTTTGAATCGTTCAAATCGTATGCTCCGTTCTCTAAGAAACTCGATTCCTATTTTCTGCACTCTTTACTACGTATCTCCGAAACGGCTGGACCTGCCTTTGCCAAAAACTAATCAGCACATCTCCCTATCAATAGGCATCGAATGTTTTTTGAACTTTTCAAATCGGTTCATCCATACGCCCGAAATCGTCGACGAAACACACACACACATTGTTGAGTTAATTAAATTCTAATAATAAATCAATTTTCACACAAATTTCTCTGAAAATTCACAACTGTTATTTTGCACATTTTTTTTGTTTGAAATTCATAACTGCCTAAATTTATTTAAATTTTCAAAAATTTAATATTATGTATCTAAAATGTGATCTGTAATATTGCCTATAACATAAGTTGGATATATTAAAATATATTTTTCCATTTTGAATTCGTCAAAAATATTATTTTTTATGAACTATTGAATTTTTTATGTTAAATTTAATATGTCACTTTTGTCTTGTGATTTATAATGTTGAATGAATGTTGAATGAATCTGATCTGAATCTTAAATCGATTTGTATCGAAGTTTCCATTAATATTTAAAACTGTCATTTCACTTTTTTTTTAGTTTATAACTGTCAAAATTTATTGAAATTCTTAAAAATTATATATTTCTAATATTAAATGAGATATTGAATAAAGCCTATCACCTAAGTTGGATATATATGCACACGATGAGCAAATAAAGTTTAAAATCGGTTCAGTAGTTTAGGAGTTTATTGAGGACATACATCGTGACACAAACATTATATATATTGGGGTGGTCCTTGACATGGATAATTTTGAATTTTTTTACTTCCAAGGCCTCAAATGATAAAAACGAATCCTCTGAAAGTTTTAGCTCCTAATATTAACATTAAGATAGTTCGCAGTCCAACCAAAGATTCTTAGAGAAATAAAATGGGTAAAATTCCATTTGTTTTTTAGAATTTATTAACTTAGCGAAAAGTGAATCAAAATTTTGAGAATAACATTGTATTTGCTTACTTTGATCATAAATGAAAAATTACAACAAAAATTTGATATATTTTATAAATAAGTATTTAATTAGGAAGAAAAACCAAAAAACTTTGGTTGGAGTGCAGACTATCTTAAAGATACCATTAAGAGCTAGAACTTTCAATGAAATTGTTTTTATCAATTTGGGAGCAAAGAAATTCGAAAATATCCATATCAAGGACCACGCTAATATATGTATATAT